CATTGCGAATATACCATGGTGCCCCAGTGAAAGTTCTCAGGATTTTTGATTGGGCGCGCTGTATGATGTCTAGATTGGTGCTCCCGATCGCCCCTGTGTCTGGACTACAAGGTCCTGCTCTACAACTCCACACTGAAGCCAATGTGGTCGTATGGCTGACCACATTGGCTTCAGTGTGGAGTTGTAGAGCAGGACCTTGTAGTCCAGACACAGGGGCGATCGGGAGTTTATGAGCCAGTGGAGGCTGCTGGCTTTTAGTTTTAGATGAATTTTCTTGCATTCAATGTGTCTTCGCCATGTTAGGCGTCTGTCCAGGTGGACGCCCAGGTACGTTACCACGTTGACTTCGGGGATCTGCGTGCTGTTCAGGTAGAGCGGAGAGCATGTTTGTCTGTTTAGAGTAAACGTTATGTGCTTACACTTTTGTTCATTTATTTTAATACGCCAATCAGATAGCCACTTCTCGACTACCTTGAGGTGGTTGGCGAGCTGGGTTGATGCCCGGACTGGGCATCTGGAACGGCTGAGGATCGCAGTGTCGTCAGCGAAAGTGGATTGTGTTAGCTGGTCGCTTGTGGGGATATCTGCTGTATATAGGACAAATAGTGCGCTTCCTTGTGGAACTCCAGCTTCGATTGAATAGGTGCCGGATGTTTTTGCGTTGCACCTCACTGCGAAGACTCTGTTGTAGAGATATGACTCAAGTAATTTGTGTGTGTATGCCGGCAAGAGTGTTTTAATTTTGTGCATGAGGCCATTGAGCCAGACGCGGTCGAATGCTTGAGAAACATCTAGAAATATTGCGCTGCAATATTCTCTATGCTCGAAGGCTGTGCGAATTTCTGATGTTATTCTGTGAACTTGCTCTATAGTTTCATGCTTTTCTCTGAAGCCAAATTGATGAGCTGGGATGATGTTGTGAGCTCCCAGATAAGGAATTATGCGCTTTAGTAGGCATTTTTCAAATAACTTCGACAAGCATGATAGTAAACTTATTGGTCGGTAAGATAACGGAATCGTGTGGTCTTTTCCGGGTTTCGGTATCATTATAATTATAGATTATTTCCATTTAGCTGGGTAATGACCGAGACTTATGATCCCATTGAAGATTTTGCAGATGACCTCAATAGCACAATTCGGAAGTTCAGTTATCATTTTTTGAGTTATTAAGTCATCGCCGGGAGCCTTTTTCAGCTTCAGTTCCCTGATGACCTTCGTGTTCTCTTTCGGACGAAATGATGCTGGAGTAGATTCCGTTTCAGTTTCAAATGGATTTGCAGCAGGGTTCGGCTGGAAAACGACCTGGAGATGTGAGGCAAAAGTTTCGGCTCTGTCTTTGTCGCTGCGGGCCCAGCAACCAGATGACTTTCTTATCGGGGTAATGGTTTCAGTCGGTGAGCTTAAATTAGGGTGAGCTCTCCATAAGGGATGCTTTGTGCTGGTTGGCGAGAGTTTCCCAATATATCTTAATTGTGCATTTTCGGCATCTTGCTTCAGGGCCCGGCTTAGTTTGCGTGTGGCTTCATTTAGACGTTGCTTTGGGTGTGGCGATCTATTGTTTTGCCACGCCCGTCGCAGACGCCTCTTTTCTTGGATAAGCTGTTCAATCTGCTGGTTCGTTTTGAATTTGATTTTTTGCACATCCCTCTGTTGTGGTGTTGAGATCCTGGCTGCAGTCACAAGTACCTCTTCCAGAGCAGAGGTGGAGGAGTCGATGTCGGCTTCAATATTGAGCTGGGGGGTCAGCTCTATGTGGGAACTCACATACTTCTTGTATTTCATCCAATTTGTTCTGTGCGACGTCAGCCTGTAGGGGCGATCCGTAGTTTCTGGGCTTTGAAGGAGGGTTATCAACAGCGGCGAGTGATCTGAAGAAAGGTCCGGAAGGGCCTTGGCGTTTATTAAATTGCGTTGGATGTTTTTTGCACCGCGAAGTCAATTAGATCAGGTATCTTTCTGGGGTCTGCTGGCCAATATGTGGGGTTACCAGGGAACACGTAGTCCAGTTTATTTCTCACATTGATGAGAGCGTTATACAGTTGTCTTCCCTTGGGGGTCACGAGGCGGGATCCCCAATGCGTATGCTTGGCGTTGTAATCTCCTGCAGCTATGAAACGATCTCCAAGAGAGTTCTAAAAGTCCATGAATTGGCCTTCAGAGATTGTAAAGTGAGGTGGGCAGTAGACAGCAGCAATGCCAAGGTTGCCGTTACCTGACTGCACTTTAATATACGTAGCTTGCAAGTAATTTGTTGCAAACCTTTGGTGAAAGTGGTGTTTGATGCGTTCTCTGATGAGGACGCCGGTTCCGCCGTGGGCTTTACCATCTGGATGATCTGTGCGGTGGAAGGTATAACCTCTTATATGAAAGTTGTATCTGCTTGTGAGGTGCGTTTCAACCAGTAGCATGGCGTCGATGTGGTTTTCATTTAGGAATTGTGTTAGTTCAAGTTTATGCCGTGAGACGCCGTTGGCATTCCACGTGGATATACGTAGATTGGACATTGATTATTTTGACTGTTGTGCTACAAGCAGCTATATCACCATATGCTGATTCTGGACGAGCGTTTGCATGGTCGTTTTCATAAATGACATGAGTTCCATCATACTTTGTTGCATGGTCACCATCATGGATTCCAGGTTGTTTTGTGGCTGCCCTGGGGCCTGCTGAGCATTTACTGAGTTTGAGGGGAGTGGATTTTGCATACCTGTCCGTAGAGCTTCGGCGTAGGAGATGCCCGTGGGGGCATTTAGCGGACCAAAAGAGCATCTGGCTGCTTTGACAAAAAATACTTCTGGAGTAGTTTTTGAATTATAATACACATTTTGTGTATTTTGTTGGCGTGTAGCTGTTGCTCGTCGCATGCGACTCTTCAGCTCCTTGTAGACCACGCAGCCTCTGTAGTTAGCTGTGTGATTTCCTCCACAGTTTCCGCATTTTTTCGTGTTGGGGTCTTCTTTGTTCGTAGGGCAGTGTGCGGAATTGTGGAAGTCTCCACAGACTACGCAGACTGACCGAAAGGTGCAGTATGTCCTTGTATGTCCATACTCCTGGCAATTTGTACATTGCACAGGACCGTTGCGTTTGTGCGGTTCTTCCACGGTGATTCTTCGGTGCAGTAGGAACTGCAACTTGTAGGTCGGGTGAACTTCATTCTTCTTTAGGGCTTTACTGTCTGGCTCAAGTTCGACTTTGAAAAGAGGTTGCGGCTTTTTGTTTTTGTTGATAATGTTGCTAACATTCTTGGCAAAGAAACCCTTGCCTTTCAGGGCTTCTAGAATCTCAGAGGGTGCGACTTCTGGTTCAATTCCTTTCAGCCCTACTTGCAGTCCCTTGCTGCTTTTTAGTTGGTAGGTGTAAAAGCTCTTTTTTGCTTCCTGCAGGTAATTAGACACAGCTCGAAAGTGTTCTTCTCTTTTGGTTTGAACTTTGGTTTCGCAAATGTTCCCTTTAATAAGCTGAACAACATGAAACAACAAATTTGTTGACCAGGGCGTTTAAGCTTTTCGCCCTAATGTAAATGGGTGGGGGCTTTCGCTGTTTTTGAGTCTCCTGCTCCGGCTCTGCTTGGTTATTCTCACCAGCTGCTAGCGGAGAAAATCTGTTGGAGTTGTTTGGGTCGTAGCTTTTGGTGACACGGTTGATCTTAGGTTTGTTACCAACCGTGTTATGTGGGCTAAGCTTACGCTTAATTTGGATGTAGCGATCCATGCCAGTCTGTATGTCCGGAACCGCTTGTGGCTTATCGGAGCTCACGGTTCTTGTTCCCATTGAATTTGGTCTGCGGCCGTTGACACCGATTTTGCAATATTGGTCGTTGGTTTAGTTGTTTTTGTTGCTTTTGCTGCGTTTGCACTGCTTGTTGTTGGTGCGTCTTCCATCGAAGCCGGTGGTGGTGGGGTTTGGCATTCGTAGCTCCAAGATGTAGGTGTTTGAGTGAGTAGGGCGGTCACGCACTAGTGTCCGTATGTCATACGCACTGTAGGGCTTGGTCTAACTATCAGTACGTAGTTTGGAGTTCCGAATTTTCTTTTTTACCATGAAAAACACTACAAGAGTAAACCCCGAGTAGCGGTCGTCCGTATGCACGTCTGCACTCGATGAAGGTCGAATGAGAAAGAATATATTTCACTTTTATTAATAAACAAAAACACACTATACGAAGCACACCAAAACTTTTGCGCGCGAATGCATGATGCATGTAAACAACACGAAAAAAGTCCCGTTATAAAGCTTAAGAGAGCTTTGAAATCTTCTACTCATAAGTTCACATGTTTATTGTGAATTGATAAGTATAATTCAAATAATTAAAAGACTCCTCGTTTTTTAGATAATACAAATTATAGGTATAATATGTGCCTTTAGGCACTCTTGGGTATTAGAAGGTTAACGGCAAGCTTGGCGAAAACGAAGTAATTTTCATAACGCAACCGAAGCACTTTATAGATGCAGAAAAGCCAAACGATGTTTGGAAACTCAACAAGGCCATCTACGGGCTTAAGCAGTCCGGCAGAATTTGGAACAAAACACTTAATAAAGAATTAAAGGACTTAGTAATTGAATGTAATGAAAAAATGTACAGAAAATTAAACGTGATAAAATTGTGGAAATGTTCGGTTTAAAACTGTGAACAATATTGTTAAAAAACTTTTCACTTGAGAAGAAGGGTTAAAGTATGCAAACTGAACGTTTCTAATTCCATAAACAGTTGTTCCATTTCCATTCGTTGTAAAAGAAGTGTGGTCTCTTTATTATCCTCATCCTTTGTTCACTCATTCGCAAGCCATCAAACAGTATAAACGTACGACGCTGAAGTTCAAGTCTCGTGTTCTCTTTTGCTAACACGTTGGTCGTGATAGCGCGTGTGTCGCTTGTGGTATTGCTCATCAACTAAGCTCTTTTATTTATCCACAAACATAAACCCCAGCAAAATTAAACATTTAAAAAATATACTAAATTAAAAAGTAAAAATGTACTTATACTTATTTTTAATATTACAGAAGCCAATCATTTAAAGAAGATGATGGGACTTGGAAAGGCAACGATGATGGAAAAGTTGTAAATAATCAACCGCAAAGAGTCATGGATGATAGAAATGGAATGATGGCGCAAGCCGGATATATCGGCAGGTAAACCCCAATCTTAATTTCGTTTTGGTATACCAAATATCAACGATGATTTAAAGCAGAGCTCGCACAAAACGGTCAACCGTTTTGATCATTCAAATTCTTTCGGAGAGAGAACAACCAAATAGTCTGAAAAGGGTCTCTCTCGCAGATGTTCTCGATTCTTTGCTTTGTTTGCGATTCCGGTTAACTGTAACAGGAGATCGCAAAGACAAAGCATCCGGGAAGCCAAGCGGCATTGAAACTACTCGCTCGCTTCTGAGTCGAAGAGAGAGCCTGAGAAAGAGAGGGATGAAGCACACATTTGAGTTCATGCGTACGAAAAATTAAAAATAAATTCTGAAAACAATTTAAACACAAAATAATAAATAACTTAAAGTTTGAGTTAAATGGTTTTTTATTTTATTTATTATTTATTTTAATCAATATCTTACACCATATCGTTAACGATCCAACACGCGCTTTACAAAACAAACAGCTGACGCTACGAGAGAATAGAAAAAGGCCCCATGGCAGATGTCTCGTTGAGACTTTTTGCGGCTAACTGGTTACGTAACCTGAATGTTGAGACTTTTTTGGAAATCGGGACTCAACCCTGCGAGCTCTGATTTAAAGATAGCAATAATTTTGATGTCTTTTGTTTTCTGTATTTAACTTAATACCAACTTACGTGTTCTGTCTATTATATTGACAATTTGATATTAGTAATCGCATTTTTTTTATTTATAGTATCAAATATATACCCCCAAAGAAATTTATAATGATAATATAATGTTAACCATATAACGCCGATTTTTGGAATGCACGATCAAAAGTGCAAAAAGCGGAAGTCAAACTCTTTTTTCTTATTAGACTATTGAAAATTATAAGGCGTTAATTACACAGGTCCACAACTATCGGGTAAAGGAACAGGACCATCATACACTAAGAGCTAAGGACGTGTCGAAAAAGTTCTGGAGAAGATGGTCAGATGAAGTTTATTTTGTGTACAATTCGTCAAAAATCAAAGTGTTTATAACATTTTTAATGTATTAGGGCAAAAAGTTAAGCAGTTGTCGAAGCGAATCAGATCTAAAGCCGTATACCCATAGCCGAAATTAGTTCGAAAGCTGAAAGGAAAACGTTGTAATTGAATCGTCGCAGTTGTCTTTTGTTAATTATCCTTATATAACCGCATATTATCAATAAACCATATAAACACATATCTACATTTGCTCAACCTTGCCGAAACTTGTGCTGATGAACGTTTTAAGTGTGTCGACGCTGTTACAAAAAATGCAAAGTTACGCTGAATCTTATTTGTTCAAAAACGTGCAGTAGAATATGAAAAGGGGAAATACTCCGAAAAAAGCCGCAGTGCTACAGAGACAGAAAATCGAAACGAAGCCTCTAGCCGTACAAAAGCCGTTAGAACCACCAAAACCAGAAGTGCAATAGAGACAATCATATAACACACGATCTACAGTTGGCGAAAAGAACAAGTATATGGCGGAAGCAGAAACACAAAGGGAAGACGAAAAACTGACTTTAAATCAACTGAAAACTGCAACGATGGAAGAGCAAGTTTTGCAAAACAGTAAAAATTTCGAAGAAATAGTGAAGTTTTATGTTTGCAATGCCAAAATGCTCAGAAAGTACAAAGCACGAGTATAATTTCACCAGTTTGATGGACAAAATATTCCGGTAGAGCAGTGGTTTGTTAATTTTGAAAAAAATGCAGATGCCTACGTCTTGGCTGAACAGCAGCGTTATGTACAAGCTCGCAGTAAAATGACCAAAGCAGCAGCTTTATTCTTAAACTCAGTCTTTGTTGGAACATACAATGAGCTGAAAAGTGTGTTGATCGCTGAATTTAAACGTACATACGCTACCGATGATGTACATAAGAAGCTGATTGAGAGAAAGAAACAAGAAGCCGAATCGTTCCACGAATATGTTCTGCAGATGAGGCAAATTGCAGCGCTCGTTGATGGCGTGGATGTTATGTCTGTTATTTGGTACATCGTCGACGGCTTGAATATTAAAAACGAGTACAGATACAGCATGTACAGTTGCAAGTCGTATGATGAACTACAGAGTCAGTATGCAATATTCGAGCAGATGATAGAATCATTCAATCTGCAACTAAATGTTTCAAGTGTGGTAAAACTGGTCACATGTCGAGAAATTGCTCAAAAGCTGGGCAAAGCATAAAAGTGTTACGGGACAATAACCGCCTTAAGTGTGTTGTCATCAATAAAGTCGCCATCGATTGCTTAGTTGACACAGGTGCCGATGTGTCCATCGTTAAAGCCACCGTGTTTAAAATGTTCCCAAGTGCACAATTGGAGAAGTCTGGATCAATGCTGAGAGGTCTTGGCAACACGAAAACATTCCCAGAAGGATACTTTTTTGCTGATGTGCTGGTAGACAACATAAATGTTCAGCAGAAATTCGTCATGGTGCAGGATGACAAACTGGAGGACAACGGTCTGCTGGGCTACGATTTTATGTCCAAGTTCTGCGACGTTTTGGATAAGGATGGCTTTCACTTTTCTTAGGAGGTTGCGCCGGTGGAACAAGAGGCGCACAATGAGCTAAGTATATATAATGTTGTCGAAGCCGATCTTGAAATCCATACTCCTCCGCAGTTCGAACCAGTGATAAGCCGGAATCGCCCGCTGCTAAAAGCACAATCGAGCTGAAGATTATGTCGACGTCGAATTTTGCTAGTAGAATCGTCATCGTCAAAAATAAGGATGGATCGAACAGAGTCTGCGTTCATTTTCGTCAACTCAATGCCATGGTTTTAAAAGACTTCTTTCCCGTGCCGCTTATGGATGATGGCAGCGAAGCTTTTTGTTGTAATGGATTTGGAAAACAGTTTTTTCCACGTTCCAGTAGAAGAGGAGAGTCGAAAATACACAGCTTTTATAACGAAGGAAGGCCTGTTCGAATTCAGTAAGACACCCTTTGGATTCACAAACTCGCCAGCAACGTTCATGCGTTTTATAAACGCCGTTTTTTTTCTTTCCCCCAAGATCTTGTTTTCCGAGATGTTATGCAATTCTATATGGATGACATAATTATATACGGCATGACAGCAGACGAGTGCTTGAAGAAGCTGAAATTAGTCCTGGAGGTTGCTGCTCGTTTTTCATTAATTATAAAATGAAAAAAAGTGCCGTTTTCTAGAAAGCAAGATTGATTTCCTTGGACATACAGTTGAAAATGGAAAGATCTAGCCCGGCTTCGAAAAAACTCGAGCAGTGAAGCAATTTGCTATCCCGTCAAATGTAAAAGCAGAGTAGTCATTCTTGGGTCTGACTGGATTCTTTCGCATGTTCATAAAATGATATGCACACATAGCACGACCATTAACAAACCTGCTGAAAAAGGATGCCGAGTTTAAGAAGCACACCGAGGAGCTGAACGCATTTAATCAGTTAAAGGCTAGCCTTTGCCAAGAACCAGTTCTTCGCATCTATTCGCAGAATGCACAGACGGAACTACACACAGACGCATCAAAAGATGGCTTTGTGGAGAATCTTCACCCAATATTTTTCTGGAGTAAGAAGATCTCGGAAAGTGATTCCAAACGACACAGTTATATTCTGGAGGTTAAAGCAGCATATTTGGCGATCGAGAAGTTTAGACACTATCTGCTGGGTGTTAACTTCGTATTGGATTGCGCGGCGTTTACTCAAGCTATCAAGAAGAAAGATGTTCCTCGCAAGGTGGCTTAATGTATTTTGTCCTTACAGGATTATTCGTTTGCAGTGGAACATCGTAGCGCTGATCGGAAGAAACATGTTGACTGCTTAATCCGATTTCCAACTATTCTGCTGGTGGGAACAGAAAGAAAGCACAATGGACGGCCGTGATCTAATAGTTGTACCCAAGGCAATGGAACATGAAATTATAACTGAAGCTTATTCAGATGGACATTTTGCGGTAACAAAATCAATGCACAGCCTGCAGCAGCAATTTTTTATCCAACACATGGAACGAAAGGTGTCCCAGGTTATCGCCACATGCATAAAGTGCATAATGACCAATAAGAAGACTGGTAAACAGGAAGGTAATCTGAATTGCATAGACAAAGGAGGTCAACCGTTACAGACGCTGCATTTAGCATCTAGGCCCAATGGATTCTACGGCGAAACTGTACAAATACTTTTTTGCAACGGTCGATGGATTTTCAAAGTTCGTGTGGTTGTTTGCTACAAAATCTACAGAGGCCGATGAAGTTGTCAAGAAGCTGGAAGAAGTGTCAAAAATATTCGGATTTTCTGCTCGGATCGTGACTGATAGAGATGCAGCTTTCACTTCAAAAGCTTTTGAGGAACTATGGACAACAACTGGAGTGGATAGAGGAAACGGCCAGATAGAGCGAGTTACTCGCGTAATCCTGTCCATTATTAGTATACTTTCTGCAGATGATACAACAAAATGGTATAGGTTCGTCGCCGATGTACAAAAAGCAATAAACTCGCATATTCATTCGACTACACAGAAAGCACCGTTTGAGCTTATGTTTGGTACAAAGATGCTGACCAAAATTACAGACAAGCTACTACAATCCTGGAACAGGAATTGATGGAGATACAGAAAGCCCAGGATGTCTATAAACACAACTACGACAAGAAGAGAAAGAAGGAGGCCAAATATAAAGAAGGAGACTTGGTCGCTATTAAGCGGACGCAGTTCATCGCCGGTAGGAAACTGGCTAATTCTTTTATTGGCCCTGTAGTGTGTAACGCTGTCGGCTTTAGGAGGATCTGAGCTGCTGGGGCACGCTGTATGTTTCCGGCTCTAGCTCGTCGGCTTTGGGGGTGGTGGTCTTGCTGACCCAGACCTCCGACACGGACTACACATCATTACTAACAAGACAAGAAATTGAGCGTGCTGCGACAAAAAAAAATAAAAGCTAGAACTAAACCGGAAGATATAATAAACAAAATTCGCTGAAGGAGAGAAGTTAGAGGAAAAGCAGAAGTTTAGAGAAAAGATAGAAGGACAGA